TTCTGTATTGGTAGCTTAAAAAAACACCCTGAGATTTCCATGGAAGTGTATGCGATCGTCTTGTAATCCACAGTCCATAAAAACCTTGCAATTCATGGCTCATAAAATCCTCTAATCCACAGTCAATAAAGCTTTGGAAAAGAGCTCTATGAAACCTAGTGATTTCACAGTTCAATGGGGTTTGTACAAGAACCTTTAATCTGGTTTAAATTTGCATGGATTTCTCTTCCACCTGCACATTGTACTTGTCTTTTCAGCTGAAAATGCAGAAATCTAAAAAGTGATGGGTAGAAACCTACTGAATTTGACATGCTTCAGGTTTTGGGGGTTTTTTTTCACCTGAATCATAACAATGCGTGACTTATCTCAGGTTTCCTTTCCTTTTCGTCAAGGCTGGGCTAATCAAGTTTCAAGTGCTAACAAGTGAGTTATGAAATGGATATAAACTGTAGGGGTGTGCGAAACAGGTCCTATTCAATTTGGATTCAGCCCGAATCAGGGACAGTGATCGATTCGTTGATATGGATCGCTGTCTCTGATTCGATTCGGCCGAATCTGAAGATTCAATGCTGATTTGGAGAACCAGCGATTCGGCCATAGACACAGCTTTAAATGCTTTTTCTGCATACCTCGAGGTACCAGCACGACTCATGAATGCTGAGATGCTGGGGCAGATAGAGCAACCCCCAGGAGCAAGGGGGGAGGGGAGCTGTGTGCTCGATGGCGGACCTGGAAGTGGATCAGAAGTACTTCTGGTCCATTTCCAGGTCTGCTGGGGAGCGTGCTGCCCCCCGCCCCAGCTCAGCGATTGGCTGCAGGGGGATCCTGGGTGCCCCCCCAGACCCAGGAAACACCAGCCACTGAGCCAGGGGGGTGCAGGGGGCCCCCCAACATGCTCTCCAGCGGACCTGGAAGTAGACAGGGAGTGCTTCCAGTCCACTTCTGGGTCTGCTGCCGAGCGCACTGGGGAGCCCCCTGCACTCCTGTGGGACACTGCATGCGGCCCAGCTTCACAGCAGTCATGAGCTGCCTGGTACCTTGAGGTCTGTAGAAAAAACATTTAAAGCTGTGTCTAGGTCCAAATCACCAAATCTTTCCAAATCTCTTTGAATCGACTTGGAGGGTTCCGATTCAATTTGGAGAGATTAAAGGGTCCTCTGATTTGATTCGGATTCGGAGATTCAGACACCAAATCGCACCAAACCTCTACCAAATTGAATCAGGAACGGAAGCTTCACATAGCCCTATTAGACATCTCAGGAATATTGCCCAAGAACGCAAGATACTGTAATACCAACCTACCTGAGCTGGCGAACTGGCCCATTTCACCGATGTCTAAGCAATATACTCCGGTGAGCCAAATCTGCCATAGACTTATTCATTCCCTTCTGTCCAGAGAAGGATAACACAACAAATGTAATGGCTTCCACTGGTTTATGGTCTGTTATTACCAGTCAGAGGGGACCCTTTTAAAAAGCAACACACTATTGGGTGCATAGCGCTATGCTCCGCCACATTCAACGCAATTAATGCTGATGAAAAAGACCTGCCAAAAGCACAATATGCAACAGCTGTTTTATAAATGTTGATACCACATCCATTTTATGGGGAAACCAAAGCTACCCGTGAGTCTCTCATTTTGGATTAACAGTTTGTAACTTAAAAAAAAAGAAAGAAGTAACTTCAGAATTGTGGAAGCACTAAAACATCTGAAAGCACTAAAGCAGAATATTATTATTATTATTATTTTCCTTCTTCATTTTAGATCTCTGCTCTCCCACAGAAACCCACATATATCTCCCAAGGAACGTTTCAGCAAAGCAAATGTCAGTCTAAGTTTTATTCATGACAGGCTCCGTGAGACTCAAAGCTGATGTTTTCCCAATCCACATCCCCTCCCCGCCATCCTCATTAGAAAGGAAGTAAAAGAATAAAATGTTTGGATTCAGATAAGATCCCACAGGAGCAGAGAACATATAATCACACTCTACCCTGGTGAACTATCCTTTTTTGAAAACCTTTCTTGGGAACAGTACATGCTATTAAAAAACATCAATGCCATTCAGCTGTTTAAACTTCTAGCTACACAGTAAGGCAACCACATTAGGCCTAAAAGCCTCCCATCTGGCCTGCATTTATAGATAACAGGGGTGTGTGGCTAACAGCCAGGCACCAATCAGAGATTCCTCTTCTGTCTCTCATATTTTTGAGCTGGGCCAAACAGTCCTGTGGAAGACTTGGATCAAGAGGCTCAACTCCTTTAGAAGAAGGCAGCTAACAAAACCCATGACAAACTGCACGTGAGCTAGGGACAAAGCACTCTCATCTGACGGGATCCAGCTAGGGGATACATTTCCAGAGGACAGCAAGTCATTCCAGATCCTGTTCATCATTAGAGGCTGCAAAACCTTCAGAAATGCATTTCTACCACAGCAAGGACAGCATTAGCAACCGGGACCCTCAACCATGCACCCAGAAGGAACAGTCTTGTATCAGAAATGAGTCAGCCAGCCCTAAAATAAAATACATGTTGGAAAAAATGAAAGAAATATGCAAAGCAGAGTTTTTACCCCAAAAAGGGGTTTAAAAAAAAAAGGCAGAAATACCAGAGACTGTATACTACAACTGTTAATTTTACCCGCAAGGTTCCCATATGCTAGCTCTGGTGACGGGCACCAGAGGTAGGTGCATGGATGGATAGTCAGTAACTAATAGTTTCTTTCTTTGTTAGCTAACTTATAAAAATCATCATTACTTACAGCTCTTTGTTCAAGGACATTCCAGAATAAATGCATCTACCCCTATCTGCTCTTGGAAACTAGGTATGCCTAGTGACGGCTGCTATGTGGATGCGCAACCGTCTGGGAACTGGGGTAGATAATAGGGCTGTGCAAAATGGCACCGTTCCATTTCGCCTTGCTCTTCCGTCCAAACCTCGAAATTCATTTTGCATCGAATTATTTCAGCTGTTCTGTTTTACTTTGTCGAAACAGTAAGGCTGTTTCGACTCTGTTTCAGTGTTTCGTTAGAACGGCCAGGGATGGGGAGTCGGCCTGATCTAGCATGGGGCCCAATCTAGCACGGGAGATGGGGAGTCAGCCCAGCTGGATTGACTTCCCATCCCCAGTGCTATGGTCAAAACGTTTCAACTTTTGAAACATTTCGATTAGCATCATTTTGTTTCAAGGCTGTTTCAATGTTCTTTGTTTTGTTTTGATTTTGCTATTTTGACCTTGAAATGAGTTGAAACAGTATTGAAACAAAATCTCTGAAATTTCACACAGCCCTAGTAGATTAAAAAAAAGCCGAGATGCAGTTGAACACTTGGGCCCAAACTGAAGTCCCCTCTAGGTAGGGTGGTGAAATTTTGGACTATAACACAGTCTGATTTTAGATCCTATTTACCCTTCTGCATGTCATCTTGCATTTCTGAACATGCTCAGAAAAGATCCTCTACAGCCACCTACAGTCTCTCAGGATTCAATTCCACCCAAGAGGGTGCATAATGCTGTGAGTCCCTCAAATGGGCTCACCAGGGCTAGCACCTGATGGGGTAGAGAGCCCTTCTACTATTAACCCTGTGGTCTGTTAGTTATGGCACTTGCCCAGAGAAGGGATGACATAGGGTTTAGGCCACCTTCACTCAGAGATGCTTTCAATTTCCACCTCCTATTGAAATGCCTGGGCCACAAGGCACTGCCATGAACACCCTCTGCCTCTCCTGTTGAAGCTAGGCCACTGAAGAACCAGTCAAGTGAAGTCAATCCCAATGACACTGCCACTATTGGGGCACCTTAGATGCAGGGCATCATTGCTTATTCTTCAGGCAAAGTGACCTTGTGGCAGCCATCTCTTCTCCAGGTATGATGGCTGTTGCCTCACAGGGAGCTCATCTGCCATTTGGTAGGCCTTGTTTTCTGCTGGGTGCCCACTCACCCTCCTTACCCAAGCTAGCACCAGGTTAGCTGCCGAAAACGCAACCAGACTGTTCTTGGTTACATGGTACTGGATGGGAGATCAAGAGAGGCCTGGCCTGACAGTATGTAGAGCCACAGGAGAGCAAACTACAGGGGGTGTGGCTTGGTGAGATGCCTACAGCCCTGGAAAGGTGGGCATTTAGTCTGCCCAGTGGGCAGGAGCTAGCCCATTCCTGTGCCCATTTTACCCAATGGTTATGCAATCAAAATACCCTGGACCATACACTCCCTGGCTTGCTGTCCTTCTGCCCCACATATCTTCCCTTTTAGCTTCCCTATGGGACAACTGCAACTGGGGATGGAGTTAGTGTTTGGCTTCGTCTAGTGGCTAGTCCACTTGGCCGGGAAATAGGAGACAGGTTGAAACCCTCTCTGGCTATGAGCTGCCTACAACCCAAGTCTCCCATGCCCTAGGCAAACTTTCAGGCTCTCCTTTTCCCACTCCATTTCATGTGACGTAAAGCGCTACATGTGTTCCTGGGTTACATCTGTGTAAGTGACCCTAAATGCTACTTATGTGGCCAAGCTCTGCCACGTAAGTGCTATTTACCTGTCTAAAGGTAGAGTTGGCTTGGGGCCCTGGTGAATACTAGGCCAAAGAAACCAAATGAGTGGAAAGGCTTTGTTTAACCTCATCAGAGCTAATGAATACTAGGAAGGATAAATTTGTGCACTAGGGAATGAAGCTATATGGGGCATTTCTTTCTTTTCTGATTTTTCCTGTTTTTCCCTTTCTTTAATTCATGTCTATTTTCATTCTGTGTATTTCAAATTTTCTTTATACCCCTCCCCTCCCCCTTCTCTGTTGAACATGATCTATATGTGACAGTGCAGCCTTCCTCCCTATTTCTAAACCACTTCTCCCCATGTCTGCCCCTCCCTCTCTAAGCTTTCCTCTATGCTATTCATGGCCCAAGGCTTGCTGCATCATCCAATCAGTGCTGGTCAACAACAGGAAAATGACTTCAAGGTCAGGACATCTTGAGCAGGGGGAAGGATGATGGCATGAAAGCTTGGACTCACCTGTCTTCTATCCGAACCCACAGGTCATTGAACTGCCTTTGGCGATAGTGTTTGTGCTGCTTCTTGTGCCATTTCTTCTGTCGGCCAAACTCTTCTAGCTGGCTGATGCTATCTGGCAGCAGGAGGTGAGGAGGCAGGCTGTCTTCTTCACCAGACTGAAGAGGCTTCAGAGAAGGAGAGGACAATGGCACTTGCTCAGAAACATGGTCGGCTGGTGCAGTGGTTCCTGAAGAGGCCTCTGAAGATGGGCTTGTGTTCTTCATCCTTGAGCTGCAAAATACAACATTTAGATCTGTGGTGTGCAAACGGGTGACAATGCAACAAAAGGCGGTACAATTTAGCATCACCTCCAGATCTGGCTGGGGGGCCTGCAGAGAAGGGTGTTAAGGATTAAAGAGAGGCTGAGAGAGGATGATGGAGAGGCTTCTACACAAGGGTGGATTAAATAGGCTAAGACGTCTCAGCTTAGAGAAAAAGCAATTCGCAGAAATGATAGAAGTCTATAAAATAACAAAAGGCATGAAGAAAGCAAACAGGGATTTGCTGTTTAGTGCCTCTCACAATGGTAGGGGTTGGGGACGTATGAGGAAATTATGAGGAAGCAAGTTTAAAACACAAGGAAATGCTTTTTCACACCACGTATAATTATCTTGTGAGACTCAGTGCCCTAAGATGTACAGGCTGATAATTTAACCAGGTTCAAAACAGAGGTGGACAAATCCATGAAGGATGGCTTCATCACTGGGTATT